TCCCCCCACTGTGCCTTCCCCCCCCCCCCCCCCAGTACGGAAAAGACAGTTGACTGTATTGTGCCTGTCTTTTTTCTTGTAAGGAAAAAGACAGTTAACCCTCTTGTGCCTGTCTTTTCCCCCTACTGGAAAAAGAGGCACAATAGGGGTAAATCTTTTTCCCCTGACCAACCAAAGCCAAAAATGCATCCCAGGGAGGGGCAGTGTGGCTCAGGGAAATGCCACCAGGGGGGAATTCAAGTCTCCATTCCCCACAACACTGTGTCCGTGTAATTCAACCTTCAATGGTATCCTGTCCCGTTAATTTCAGTAGTGTATCTTGTGCTTGCAAGAAGAGTTTCTGGTTTGTTTCCATGCATTTTTATTGATTGCTGTCATTCTATATTTATTGTGCTTATTTATAATCTCCGATACTGGTTTTTTTTGTATGTGTACAAAATGTGGAAAATCAGATGACGTGTGAGATAACTGGCAATTAAAGGGCACCATCTTTTTAAAAAATTAAGAAAACAAATATATACCGTAACGATTAGACAAAAACTAATTTCCTGTGATCTATGTTATTCTGTTTTGTGTAGAAAATTTTAAAAGGTAATTTTTTTAACAAAAAGAGGTGATGTTTTTTCCACTCTGAGCTAATTGCATTTCTGTGGCTGTGTTAGTAGAAAAAACACTGTACGGTGTAATGCACAGAAAACTTTTGATCGCTGTTGCATTCCATACAATATCAGATTGCAGATTTATAAAGAAGGAGTACAACTGAACAAAAGTTGGATGTGATTACATCACATTAACTTAGACAGGAACTAAGGCCGGGCTAGACACTGTAAGAGCTTCCCCTGTCTTGTAAACTCATGCAAGTAAATTGTGACGTCACATCTTTGTACCGCGCATCCTTGCCTCGGGCGGTTGGCTGGCAGAGGTGGGTGTTGTTCATGATGGTTTGTTATAAAAAGAGAGGAGACGAAAAATGACAGCTACTCCGAATCTCTTGTAATGCCTCCTTTGGCCCTGGCGCAGTCTCGTACAGAGCCACTTGCTTGGTCATCTACAGTAATCAAGACTCGTCTCCAGATGACCAAGCAAGACACGTTTTGGAGACTGGAATACATTGTGGCTCTTCCCCCCCCCCCCCCTTTGAAACCCCCCCTGCGCAACACCTCTGCCCCCCCCCCCCCCCCCCCCCCCTCTGGGGGGGGGGGGGGGGGATGTCTTTTGTTCCTGATCTGCTTCAAGGTCTGATGGCTTTACTTGTTTATAAAGGAAAGTTCTCTTGAAAAGAGTTTTATGCTGAACGCATCAGGAATAAAAGAATGTTTCTCTCTAAATACTTGCCTGCGTTTTTCTAGCATGGGGGCAGCCTGCAGCTATTTCAATCCCTCTTGTTGTATGGGAACGAAATCTAATATTTTGTGGAATAGTATGGTGTCCTTCTATATGAGGCTGGACTAAAGGAGACTTAAATGCATAAGTATTATTGGTTTCAGTAGAGTGCCTTTTTTTTGCTGTATTTCACCCATTATTTACAAAGAAATCGGGCGTTCTGCCCAAACCACATTTCAATTATTGTTGTAAATGTTCCAGAGCAAAGCAGAACTGTTGACCACTGGAGTTCGTTCAGTGTAACCGAAACAAGTAACGGTCTGCTGTTGTGCTTTCAAGACAACTGATCAGGACGATGAGATGGATTTATGATGTGAATAAAATTCTTGGAGCTTAGAAGTGCCTCTTGAGTTTCTTCAGTAAAGAACAGTTGACGTCATGCACACATGAGCACACATGATGCTGCTTTATACTGAATCACTCCATTGGTCCATCGAGGTCAATGTTCTCTACTTAGACCAGCAGCGGATCTCTAGGCTGAGGTCTTTAACATCACCTACTGCCTGGTCTTTTTTTAATTAGAGATGATGAGGTTTGAACCCGGGACCTTCTGCATGCAAAGCAGAGGCTCTTCCAATGAGCCACAGCCCCTCCCCTAAGGCCTTTAGTAAAGACGTTTACCCGGGGTACCAAGCTAGACATACTCTGTGTTCACGTGAACAAAGGCAAACAGGACCAGCAAAGATTTTGTGGCTTGTGGGTCAATTTTTTTCCTGGTGGGGCTGAAGTTCTCAGTGCAGAAAGAAAAGCCATTTAGCCAATAGAAAGCTGTGACCAGGATAGATCTCTAAATTGCAAGCTGTCAGCCACTTTAGTTGACAGTTCTCAGCTGCTACAAGTTAATCCCTTCTGTCAGCCTAAGCAGTAATTCTGATAATAGGCCGGCAGGTGGGAGTGAAGACTTCTATAGTCAAGAAAGCTAACACTTAGGCATAAAAACTCTCTTACAGGAGACCAATTTCTTGACACAAAGTTAGAAGGGATCGTAGAGGTCACCTACTCCAACCCCCTTGCTCAGTGCAGGAATTCGTCAACTACAGCACCCCACTTTGCTTAAAGGAGTGTACACCTTTTAAAAAATGTTTTAAAATGATTGAAAAAAGCATTTACAGGAGAAATTCTTGTGGGGCTGGACCTTAAGAAAGGGGGCAGTGCCCCCCAAAGCCCTACCATAGCTACAGGCCTGACTGGCATCAAGGGTTGGCGTGGCGGGGCATCTGTCCAGGCTCACAGCCCAGCAGAGGGCCTGGGACCAGAGATGCTGGCCCTATCTGCTTTTATCAGGAATAGGCAGTCATCTGGTAATGTCACAGGGACCTCTGGCATTGGGAGAGCTGCCCAAAGGGAGTGGAACATGATTCTTTTGCACTCCTTTTAGGCCTCCGCAAAGTTAGCATCCACTATATTCAGTCCAAAGTTAGTGACAGCCTGTGGTATGAGATGGGCTACCCCAGAGCATTAATGCCCGTACTTAATAGAGAGAGAGAGTATGCAAAATGCAAGGAGCCGTTCCCCTGCACAAGCCCTGGTTGAAACAAAAGGGACCTGTGCAAAAGAACAATTCATAGGAACACATTCCTTGGGGTGGGGGGGTGGCTCAATCTGAACTGGTTTTATATCACTTGTCAGGAGTCTCCCCCAAGAAATCCTGGGAACTGTAGAGGAGAAGACAAAGAGGAGGAGGAGGAGGAGATTGGATTTATACCCCGCCCTTCACTTGGAGTCTCAGAGCGGCTTACAAACTCCTTTCCCTTCCCCTCCCCACAACAGACACCCTGTGAGGTAGGTGGGGCTGAGAGAGCTCTGACAGAACTATGGCTTGCCCAAGGTCATCCAGCAGCTGCAAGTGGAGGAGGGGAGAATCAAAGCCAGTTCTCCCATATTAGAGTCCACACACTTAACCACTACACCAAACTGGCTCTATCTTAGTGAGGTGGCAAGAACTGTAAATTAGAGTCCCTGAATTATCTTCTCCCCATGCATGACATACAAATCCCAGGAGTCCCTGGGAGAAGGAATCTGACTATTAAACCTGTTTAAGTCTGGTTCAATTTGTCAGCCCTTAAACACACTGATTGCCAGTTTTCAACAGATGGATTTTGCATTTTGCACAAATAAATCTTCTAATCTACTCTCGGTAACTCTCTTGAATTTGTAAGCCTA